GCACGAGAAAAATGCAATGCAGGGAAGATAGATGATTGTACACCTTAGACCCTGTATGTACTAAGCGATGTTGACTGTGCATGACAGTACAGTCAAAATCCCTTAGTACGTAGTAATGTATTCTGCGCGAAGCCCACAGGAACATGGGAACATTGAAGGGGCTTTGATGCTGCCTCTCGACGATATTATAGGGCTTGCAAGTGATGACGTCAAAACGGCCTGGGAGTAGTAAGTTGACATCAGATTTCTATTTTGGATCCACTAAGGTGTCACTTCGCTATTGCCTCAGCATGTGGGTGCATAGCAACCCCACTTATGTCGTATGCAGGTGCGACTTTTACTTCGCCACCAGTTGTCACCCCGTCCCCACTAGCCAAATCAGTCAGTTTCACTGGCTACATCACCTTGCTGTGAGTAAGACCGCTGGAAATGTGCTTGGATCCATACAAAAACTGGATCCAGGTGGATCCAGTTTTTGAATTTTTCAAATTGTTGCTATGCCATTGCTATGCTGTGACGTAGCACTTTCAAGCACTATTGTGAGAAAAAGAGCCGTTGATAACTGGTCCAGTTTCCATGGGATAATCAAATGATGGAATTATTACTTGAACACAAGAATACCACTGGTTGATCGAACACGGAAGGAGTAGATCTACGCCACTATAGGAAAGCAGCATGCTGGTACAGGCAAAGAAACTGGTGTTGAGAATTTAATGATACTAGTGACAAATAGGGAAAAACAACAACTGTGATACTGGTCAATCTTAGCTTCATTGGCCAGCCATGTTCCCTGGGTGTCAGTTTAGGTACAACAATTTAAACACACCCTGTGCTACTGGAGTATACGAGAATATGAGAGCATTGCAGGGATCAGAGCTGTGGTGAATTCAATAGGAAGATCATGTGAGTATCCTGCAGGCTGCCATACTAATGAGCATTTGGAATGAAACGGTGGACAATGTGATCTGGTAAAATGGGACCACAGGCTGTGTCATCCAGGCACAAATACATAAACACAGACACGCGGACTCACACAGATGCACACAGACACACTATGCACCACACACACACACACACACACACACACACACACACACACACACACACACACACACACGCACACATACCATAATGTATACAAAAACACACACACAACACAAGAATACTCTTTTTGATCAAAGCAGAGCTTGGTCCAGGATTACAGCACCTCCATTTACAGTTGCTCCATGGAGCAGGATGCACCAATCTCAGCCATGTAGAATAAGAAGCCAGTGCCACGCATGATAATACTTGTTTTACTGTTGATCAGACACATTCTGACATGGGTAGACCAGTGGGTCAGGGCCCATCTATCCCATCTATTGGTTCACTCACTTTTTGCTGCTGACTTCGCTGCCACAAACGCTGCAGTGAGAATGGCGGCGCTTTTGTCGGCCAGCTTGACTCTGCGTAGTGTCATACTGGAGAAGGGTGGTTGAAACGTGACTTCGTACAGCACTTGCAGAGGGTCAGTCTCCTCGATGCATTCCCACAGCCAGTCGAAGAAGTCCTGTGCGAAATTCAGGCACACAGAGCTACTCCAATAATCACTGCACATATCAGGTAGGTCTGCAGTTTTGTAATTCTTGACTCTGTGCACAATACCGTCGTCATTTCGGAACCCCACCAGAAGGCTTGGTGCTCCGATGCAGTAGCACTGGGCCCATGTCTCCAGCAGTTTTTGGCGATGGAACGTTTGCCTGTGACGCGGCGTGTACAGTTCTCTCTGAGTTTTCATCTCCACATAATTGGTGGGTGGTGATTGGCCTGGTCTATCAAGCTCACCATCCACCTCCGCAGACAATATGAACGAATGATCAGCCAGTTGCGTGTAGACCACCGTGTCAAATCCAGCGGTATCATTCGGCCTGCTGTTCTGTTCAACTTCTGGATTGACGGGGGCTGTGCAGTAGGATTCAAATCTGAAACCCCAGTGTGTCGCCTGTTGCTCACGGGGGCTTTTTTCGGAAAAGCTTTCCCACTTTGGAAACTGCCCATCCGTGCACATGTAAATGACGTTCCTAAATCGGCACACTTTGACACGCCATTCCTTGGGGTATCTGGCTTCCCACTCGTACGGTGCAGTTAGGACATGTTTCAAGACTCCCCGTTTGAAGACAAAATTCGTGTCCGGAAGCTCCTTCAGAACGGCATTGTTCTCTGTCATCCATTCCAGAAGCGGCTTGATTCCCTCTGCTTTGATATTCTCCTCGTCTCTCCATTGAAAGTCTGCAGATCCTTCGTTCAAATCCCACGATAGTGATCTCAAGCCGCCATCTGGAATTTCCACGCAGCGACGAGCCTCTCGTCTGTCCATGAATATGGCACGCTTGTCATCCATGGAGAAACACCCAATCTCAACTGGGGCACGCAGAGACAGGTCGGATTTGTCAGCTCTGCGTCTAATGACCAGCTGTGGCTTTTCATCGCCACTCCCTGGCGCGTTCGTCGCAGCGCTCATACTTAGCCAGGCACGGTAATCGGTATGCTCAACAGCCCGCAGTGCAGTTAGTTACTATCGAGTGGGCACTGCGTAGGATCACTCACTGCCACACACCACCAAACTAAACTCAGTCACTGAGTGGCCTTTACCCTTGCTTGGTAGACAACGTGCGGCTGCTTCTTTTGCCTTTGTTACCTTCAACACCATCATGACCGGCCATCATGACCACCTCAAGCCCTACCGACCGGCCGTAAAACAAATTATGTAAATCTGATCAATCATCATTGAGTTTCCACTACCGGTATACCAGGTATACTAGGAGTAGGAGTCTAGGTGCGATGCAGCCTGTACAGGCCAGTACGGGCCATCAGATGCGAAAACCGATCTAATGAACACTGCACAGTTCAGAAAAATGCAGTTGATAATTGGCGAGTTTACGCTCTGGTGCGCCTGGCCAACCAAGCTACAAACCTTCGTGTTTCAGTCAAGTGTCAGTCTTTCGGGACAATCCAAGTACATGTATGTGTGTAAATCGAAGAGAAAACTCCAAGGAATCCAAGCGCGATCGCGGCACGATGCTGCGTTCCCCAGATACCATGCCCATGGATACGAAGCCTGCAAGAAACGTCGTCACCATGCCATGGTCACGGCACTAAGTCTTTGCATTTCTACGAGTCCAGATCTGGTGGTTTCCCCCTTTTCAAGTGATCTACGATCTCAGCAACAGGCTCAGACCATACATGTACGTCTTGGAAGCTCTCGCTGCATCGTCACGAAAAATTGGGCATCCCAGTGGGATAATGGAGATGGAAATGGCGAGCGATGTTCACGTGACGGCGCAAGTCCAGCGCTGAAGAGACGTCTGCAGCTTATGCGCTGGTGCTGTGCTTTATTTGCTATCGGATTTGGGCCCAACGGGTTGCTCGTCGCCAGAGCTTTCCAGAAAAGCCCAAGTGTGTGGAAATCGGTCAGAGGAAACAGAAAATATTCTCCAAACTCGACCAATGTACAGTGTACATGTAGCTGAAACAATTGTTGGTATTGCACCAAAACTTTAGGTGAAATTTGTAATGGTCTCCTATTGTAAAGGGTATAATTTTACTTCCCCTGGTCCAAATCAACTCTAGTATTCTGCATACGACTCCTGACATGATGCTCCTGGCATTCAGATAGTAGATGTCCACCTCGAACACAAAAAGAATGTGATTTTTTTGCCATAAGGTCGGTTTTCGCATCTTACGGCTCGTAGTCATAATGATATGCGTGTACCATACATCATACATGTATCGCACTAGTATTGCAATGACTATGTACTAACTACCGGTATAGGGCTTGAAAGTGCTACGTCACACCATAGCAACAATTTCAAAAATTCAAAAATTGGATCCACTTGGATACAGGTTTTGTATGGATCCAAGCACATTTCAAGCCGTCTTACTCACAGCAAGGCGATGTAATCGTAGATTCCGCTAGGACCCGCAGGGTCCGACGTGGAATCGGGGTTACACGAGGAGTGAAGGCGAAGAATGTGACAGTGTGTTTGGCCTCAAATCGCTCCAGTTTTCCATAAATTCTTAGCGGTTTTTAAAGACAAAATGCAAAATGCAAATGCACCCCTTGATAGCCCCTTGCACCTCTTGCTTTCTTTGGCCTTTTCTGAGCGACCAAGGAATAGTGCAGAGATCGAGTAGTGACAGTGAGGGGTGGGTGACACCAGCACAAGGGCGGGAACACACTGTCACATTCTTCGCCTTCACTCCTCGTGTAACCCCGATTCCACGTCGGACCCTGCGGGTCCTAGCGGAATCTACGATTACACTTCGGAGCTTCGGCTTCGAATGTGACAGTGTGACTTTCAAAGTGATCCACCAACACGACCAAGGGCAGAACCAAGCCATATTCGGCTAAACATGTGGAGGGAACACAACCAAAGGTATAACCAAGCCAGAGTCGGCTAAGCAAGTGGAGTGAAGGAACTGGCCGCGCGCGGAGGGCCAGAAATAAACTTGGAATAAGTGGGATTCAGGGAGTGCCGGGAATACACAGATGCAGAGAGTGCCGGGAAGAAGCAAACACGCGGAATAATTGGACACGCGGAATAATCGGGACACGCTGAGCGCGGGGAATACCCGGAATAATTGGAACATACGAGAATACGCGGAATAAGCAAGCGTATCCTTTAGCCACCGTGCGATCGTACCGGACGACGCCGGACAGATAGGCGGGCGCAATGTCAGGAGCAGCTGCTGTAAAACTGCATTGCGGTCGGACTGTGTCTGCGGAAGGTACTCGGCGAGACAGGAATTCGGACAAAGGAGTGTGTCCTGCGCAAACCGGGGAACCAGGAAGGTCGTAGGGCCAGAACCCTGGACCTGGGTTTTACTGACGGAGGCCAGTTGGAACACAGTGCCATCTGGAGTCGAACGAAGGTGAGTGACCGACAGTCTGCAAAGCTCAGAGGAGCGGGGAGCCTCAGTCAAAGCCATGAGCATAGTAACTTTCTGCGTCAGACGCTTCCGGAAAAGGCTGCTGCGGACGAGAGAAGTGCCGTTGTGGCCGGAACGGGGTAAGTTCCCGTTGCAGATCTTTAATTGCTTTGGTCTGTTTCGCACGTGTAGACACGACGTCAGTGAACGCCTTCCCGAAGAGGTGACGGCCCGTCTGGGGCAACTCTTCTTTGGTCAGCTTAACCATTTCACTGCTGCCTGGCTCAAGAACAACTTGACGGCGAAGCTGCGTCATGCGACCATTGGCATGGCCCATGAGCACGATTGTGCGCTGCAGGATCTCTGCCACGTCACCCACCGCAATGGTTGTCATGCCTGGGTCCTCCGCGATGGCAGCAAGCGCACAAGCCGCGGGCCCAACAGCCGAGTGGATAGCCATTTGGACTGAAGAAAGCTTCGTATCCATGGACCTGGGATATTTCTGGCCCAGCCACTGCAGGACATGTTCATCGGCCTTGGGGGCATACATGGCATCTGTGTCGGGACGAGGATGACTAGACTCCATGTCCCGCCGTTCGTCGTCAGTCAAGACACGTCGAAAGTGTGTCTCCACATAATCATTGACTGCCTTTGGTGCTTGAAAGGTGAATTTTTGTGAAGGCCCGACAGTGGTGGGATCGAACATGTGTCCTTGAGACTCTCCCACATTAGCTAGAGATGGCCGAACGGCACTCTGGTCATCAAACAAAGCACTCGGTGAGGCCTGCAGGCCCACCAGACCATCATCGTCCAGGGATGTGGACGGATAGTGAACGTGGTGCAAGGCACGCGACGGGGCCTGCCCACCATGATGAACGCCACCATGACCACGACCCATCGACGTGGGCGGGTAGGAAGAGAAACTTAGTGGCGAGGCACGCGATAGGGCCTGCTCACTAGTAGTGTGAAGAAAGCCGCCGGGAACATCAGCCACCGACGTGGCCGAGGGTGGGGGCCGGCAACTAGGCGCAGAGATTGGCACACTCGATAGAGCCTGCTCTTCACTAACGCCGCCCTGATCTAACAGGGGAGGATTCACAGAAGCTGGATTAGCGAAATGGCTACGTGGATGCACCATCGTAGCTGCGCCAACGACGTTGGACGTGGCTGAAATTTCCATATCGGCACCAACTGCAGCACGCATGGACTGAGCACGGACGGTACTTGAACCACGATCCGGGTCGGAAATCGTAGGCCGGGGACTACGGGCCCCGGAGTCACCACTGGACACTACCAAATCAGCAGTGGAGGACATAGTGAAAGTTCGGAAAGTGTCTAGGACAGACAAGGAAAAAAAGATAACCTATACGCTAAGGAGCGAAAGAAAAGGCCGAAGAAAGCAAGAGGTGCAAGGGGCTATCAAGGGGTGCATTTGCATTTTGCATTTTGTCTTTAAAAACCGCTAAGAATTTATGGAAAACTGGAGCGATTTGAGGCCAAACACACTGTCACATTCGAAGCCGAAGCTCCGAAGTGTAACCAGTGAAACTGACTGATTTGGCTACTGGGGGCGGGGTTACAACTGGTGGCGAAGTAAAAGTCACCCCTGAATACGACATGAGTGGGTTGCTATGCACCCACATACTGAGGCAATAGCAAAGTCACACCTTAGTGGATCCAAAATAGAAATCTGATGTCAATTTAGTACTCCCTGGCCGTTTTTGACGTCATCACTTTCAAGCCCTATTAGTATTAGTAATATTTCTCTGTTGGTATAGCGACGGGCCTCGGAACTTACTTTCCGAGTTGTTTCACACGTCCGTGTTACTGACTTTTACTGGTCAGTACAGTAGCCAAGGCCTGAATCGTTTGCACTACTGCCACGGCGCTAGGAGCAGAGTACGATCGAGTAGCGTAGGACTGTGACCATGGTGATCATGCCAATGCCTACTTTGCCTAGTGACTGTCTGTGACTGATCTCAGACTGAGCCAACACAGAATGCAGTGTAGGCCTTGGCGGATAATGCCGGCAGAAAAATTGGCAGAATTCGGTACTTTTTCTGGTAAGTTTCATGCATGTTTGGTATGGTATGGTATTGATTGATTTGAATTCGGTATCTCAACAGTACATTGTACAACTTGGGAAGATCCGAATGACATAGATACATAAACATAAAAGTGGAGTAGCTGGTATGTGGATAAAGAAATGGAGCAGAATTCGAGGAATTGCCCGCCATAAGGTTTGTATGGTTCTGCCAATTTCGGTGCAAAAAAAGCAGAATCTGCCACCTTTTCGAGCATTATCCGCCAAGGCCTAATGCAGTGCCGTGTGGGAGAGCTAGGCTGCCCAAGTTGCCAACTCCAGCAGCACCACCGTCGCCCTTGCCACCACCAGAACCGCCACCGGCTCTTCTTGTGGCGGGGGCTGGGGTGGACCCACCTACACTCGCGCTGGTATCACCAACTCTCACACGGATTGCCACGCCGCCCACATTAATCCAGAGACCTCGGAGGGCAACAGCAAACTACTCCACAGAGATCTATGCTAGAAACGGCCAAGGACCACGCGTTGTGAACAGTACCAACAGGAGG